TTTTGTTCGGATCGCAGTTGCGAAAAGATTTCAATCAGAGACTTCGAAATTAACTCTAATTACCTTATCGAGTACTTACACCTGAAGTTTTTGATTAACAGAAATACAATTATATACTTTTTTGACAAAAAAAATTACATTAAGGACGAATTGTATAGCTAGAAATTTTGCTAGAAGCAATTCTGCACGGAAAGAACGTTTTTACTGAAGTATCTAAAAGTTTAGCTAGATACAAAACTGAATTAAAATAATTTGTTGGACTATCATAATAATTATGAAGATACTCAAGCTGGTTGCTAAAATAACAAAATACTTTTGAAATATTTCTCATCATGTTCGACTTTCCTATACAATTATTTTGATAGTCCAACAAAATTGTTTTCAAATCTATATCTACACTAAAAAAAAATCTTAGATTAATTGGAATTCTGATTGAAAATGGACGAATCAGAATTTTCTTAAATCTACGAGAATTCTATATGCGATAACCGGATTTCTGATTGATATAATCAGAATCTTCTGGTTTATCTATTTTCAACCAGAAATTTTTTTCATAAAAAAATCTGGTTAGACTTATTGGAGTTCTGATAGACGAATCACACACACACACACACACACACACACACACACACACACACACACACACACACACAAACAAAATTTTCTGACTAAATCTACTGAAATTATATAGATATGATCAGAATCTTCTGTTTCCTCTATTTTCAACCAGAAATTTTTAGATACCTCAGCGAAATCATTCTTTCCACGTATCGGTCGGACTAATTGTCTTTCAAGTCAGTCGGAGTTCGGTCGAAGTCGCCCCGAAATCTCGCAGCGTCCCTTCCTCCGGAAGGACAAGGCCTTTCCCCGAAACACGAGAACGCCCCAGCCAAAATTCCTAGATAAAATTCTCAAGCCGCGGAAAAAGGAAGCTAAGGTCGGTGCACGCTATCGCCCGCTAAAAAGTCATCGACCCAACGTAATCGCCGGTGGTAAGCTGCTCCGCTCTGACGCTCGTTCGCCACCTTCGTTCATATCGCCGCTCCGCGCTCGTCGTCGTCGCTCGTCGCCGCGGCGCGCGACGTTCCTTCGACTTTACTCCGACTGCCTTCGAGACGTCGCGTTGCGTTGCATGCGCGAGGAAAATGGGTCCGTTCGATAACTCGGCGGCGCGGTATAGAAGGCGGTACACATCCGCGTATCCGTATATCCGCGCGCGCGATACCGAGCTCCTCTCGCGATTCTCGCGAGGCGGAAAAAGGCGGTTTCGGTATTCGCCTCCGTCTGCGTCTCTCACTCTCTCTCTCTCTCTCTCTCTTTCTCTTTTCTCCCTCTTTCTCGCTCTTCAGCCTTCGGGGTCCGCGTGCGACTTAACGAACACCCGGCTTTTACGAGCACCTCGGACCACGCTACGCAACATCTGGTGATATTTCTTTGGTTACTGAGGCCTGCTCGACGAAATCCAACTCAACATACTCCATCGTCCCGACGGCGTCTCGCTCTTTCTCTCACTCGCTCTCTTTCTCTCTCATTCCCACACATACACACAATATACACACACACACATAGGCACACAACCGATGCGTTTCATATGGAAAGCTCGGTGTAATGTATTCTTGCACCCACACATCGTTACCCGGAGTGTGTACCGTGTATCGATCCCCGAGAGTACACACGAAGACGACCGTGAGCGCCATCGGGCTCCTCTGTTTCCTTCCACTTTCCTCTCTCTTTCTCTTTCTCTCGTTCTGTATATACCGTGTCGTCTCTCTTTCGACCACGTTTATCTCAAGAACGGAGTAGCCGCTTCGTTCTTTGTGACGTTCGAGAAAACGCACGCCGCATCGCACGGGGATGCACTGCGCGGACGATGGTATATGTATACATCAGTTAGGGCGAGTCCGAGAGAGAGAGAGAGAGAGAGAGAGCGTGTGGTCCCACCGGCGGTGGGCTCGCGTGACAGAAGCGCGACGGTGGTTCCACCCCCTTTCCCAACCACCCTCACCCTCCATCCCGCGGACGTGATTCGACGGACATCGCGGGCATCGACGGGTGGGGGGGGGGGCGTCGCGACGACGAAATGATTTACGAGGGACGGTTTACTTCTTACCTCAATTTTTTTCCTCTCAGTGACAAATCCGTACGCTCGCGTACGTGAACGGAAATCGCGACATACGACGCACACCGGATCGTGGCCCAAGCCCGACTGACGGAGAATGACGAGCGTAGGCGACGCGACCGCCGGGGTGGGGCGGCCGTCCCAACCAATCGCGTTCCCGCTTGCGCGCGATCCCGTGGAGGATTTACGGGCAGCCGCCAGGCCGGGCCGCGCGCTACTCCACTCCGTTCTGCTCCGTTCTGCTCCGTTCTCGTTCGTTTCGGCTCCGGCGCTCTTCGAAACGAGAGACGGACGCACATCCATGCGGGCGGGAGAGGGCACGAGGCGACCGAAACGCGGACCGAACGGATGACGCACTCGGGGCGACTTCGACCAAACTCCGATCGTTTCATTCAAGACTCCGGCGGAGTCGCTCGCGCAATTATTTTCAACACACTCATATGCTTCTTTCTATGTTTAATTTTAATCTTGTAGTTTAATTTTAACCTTGGTTCAACTAGCTTTTCTTCTTGTTCTAGTTCTAAGAATTGGAAAAAGATGAAGAGTTGTGAACCAAGATTAAAGTGTATCAGAAAAAAATACTTATGCCCGTTTTGAACTAAAGTAGATTAACTTTAATCTTGGTTTAGCTTACTGTTTTTTTATTTAATCTTAAAAAATTAGAAAAAATAAAGAGTAAATTGAACTGATACTAAAGCTAATCTTACACTGGTGGAACCAGATATTAGTGACTGGAGTCCGACCGAAATTTCAGTTTGATTTCGGTTTCGGTTTAATTAAGACAAAATTTCGTGATGGGTAAACCTCAACTGTACAAGTTACAACGCGATGATGAGCGTTCAAAAAACAACTGTTCGATTTTAATTATTAACTCGTTGGTTAAGCTTAAGACAATTTGAGTATAAACTTTGATGTGATTCTAATAATAATTATGATTTGATTTCTTTAAAAGTTGAGGATGCAATATTATTATATTGTATTATTATCTACAGTTAGATATTTTAATAAAATCTTGTTTTTTAAAGAGTACATAAATTTGTCATAATTTCTGAAAATCATACGATCTCTGTAAAATTAATCCAAAAATGTTGATTTCGGCCGAAAAAAATGTGACTCCGTTAGCTTCTCTCTTTTTTTTAAGATAAGTAAGACTTATTTAAGTTTCGGTTTCGGTTTTGTTTTCGGTCGAAATTGATAGTTTTACATGATGAATAACAACCGAATATTTGTTTTTGGTTTCAGCTGGAAGTTAAAATGAGGTTTCGGTCAGACTCTAGTGACAACTATAAAAGTGATAATTGCAAATTTTTTACGTAGAATTAATGTGTATACATAATTAAATAAACTATTTTGTATAGTTGTTACAATTATTAAGTAATTTATTCAACACTGTATACACACACATTAATTTATTTAACTATATACATTAATTCTACGTATAAATTTAGTATAGTCACACCTTTATAGTTGCTACCATAAATGCTATGTTTTTCTCTGATTGAGAGCATGTAATTCGCTTCAGCCCTGATCTCTAATCTTTCTTCCTATATATATTCCCATGTACCAAATAAATGACATTTGATGTTATCTATGTTAATAAGATAATTCAAGATTAACAAGTTAATTGGAGTTTGGCTGCATTTACGATGACTCCAATTAACTTATCAAGTAAATTAATTGTACTATTTCGTTAACATAAACAAAATTGTTTATCTTTTGTTATTTAATATGGAAAAAAAAGATTAGGAGCGTTGAATTGTAAAATAAGATTAGAGACATAGAAATATATCAGAAATTTTATCTTAAATGATTCTATCAATTGAATTAATTACTGATTAAGTTAATTAATAATTATCGAATAATACTTTTTTATTATTTCATTAATATAAATAAAATTAATTTTTCATTTTGAATGTATAAAAATCTTTAAGCAATTCTGCCGGTTAAATCAATCAAATTAATTAGATTAATCACAGTTTGGTCATTCTTCATAATTTTTATGCTGGATGTACCTTTCGTATTCCCTTTCGATTCTTCTTTTATCTTCTATATTTCGTTTAAATTAAAAAAATTTTAACTTTATAAATTTTATGATATACATATATACAGGGTGTAACCGAAATAACGCCCACTAATCATATAGTGCTATTCCTAACAAAAAACTGAGACGAAAAGTCTACTATTTTGCAATTTTCACATCTTTTTTTAATTACCCAATGAGCAAAATGTCTAAAATCGACGTATAAGACAGCTTTAAGATATCTTTAAGAGTTCTTTAAGAAAAATCTTCAAAATATTTTACAAAGGACACGGAGATATCTCAAAATTGTCTTATACATCGATTTTATCCGTTTATTCGACAATATTTAGAAATTAATATCTCGTTAACTAACTATTGTGAAAATTGCAAAGTGGTAGAGGACTCTCTTTTCGACTTAGTTTTTTTATTAGGAATAACATTGTATGATTAGTGGGCGTTATTTCAGTTATACCCTGTATATATATCTTTTTTAACAACAGATTTTCAATTTTAAATATATATTGATAAACTCCTGCTCTAAGAATTAAACAAACGCTCACCTTTCGCGAATCGGAATGTACTCGCGGAAAAGTTTAAGTAAAAAAAAATGCCGTTTTGATATAGAACGGGAAGAAAAACATCTCGCACTTTGTCTCATCGTATTTATTTTCCAATTATTCAAATTATTCACGATTCCTGCCATATCGTCGGTAAGATATCAGAATTGCAGCGCCGTCTCGGTTACTTAAGTCCCGTTTTATTTGGTCGATAAGTAAAGAAGTTCGCAGAAGAGAGTTACCGCTAATCCTAAAAAGATATTCAAAAAGACAAGGTATGCATATATGTATACATATATATGTATATATACGGTCCAACACAACGAATTGTAGAATATCACGATATCTTTTCCCGCTTCTCTTTGTAAACGTGTAACAAAATGCAACGAACGACGAGAGCCGTAGATCGAAGAGCGACAAAGTTATATGTAGATACTGCAACGTGCATAAAAGTGGAATGACACATTTCTCCCGTATATATATATACATATACATCCTCTATTTATTTCAATGAAAGAGTAAGTAATATTTAATAATGTGTATGTGTGTGTATATGTGTATACGTCCTCAGTCGATTGATGGAACTTATAAAATCATAATCCGCGAATAGTAAACACATTTCGTCGTTTGCACTCTAATCATCGTCACTGACTACCCGTATCCACGATACGTGTGACTAGTAATAAATGTTAATTGATAAAATAACTTAAACATCTTTCACTCATATAATCTTGTGTTATGTATACATATATATATATTTATAAATTCTCGCTTTCACGCTCGCGCTTGTTCTCACGTTCGCACTTTACTCAACATCCGATTGGAATGATTGTTAAAATTGAGAGATTGAAGTCAATTCAATCGCGAGATAAGAAACCAACTATAGATTTGTCTTGTTCTCCGTTACGTAGAAAAGCTGTATCGTTCTCTGAAATTGATCACTCATTTTTCACATTAATAGATCGCTGTGTCCACACAGTCATTGGAAGAACTTGACTGTAGGCTGTGATATAAACTATAACTTTCACAAGTGTTTCCTAAACGAGATGCCTAAATCAGACAAGGATATTGTGAAATTAATGTTACACAATTCGGTGGCTCTCGCAAAAAACAGTCTCGATATCTAAAATAAAACGCTTGTTGTGAGTTGTAATACGTATGATTAATATGTTTAATAATGTGACGTGTGTGTATCAGTATTAATTACTTAGATAAGGCCACTAGTGGATGATACAGGTATAATATAAATATTACAGTTATAAGCATATAGATTCTCAAAGCAACGGTCGAGTAGTTACACAGTATGTCCAGAAACGATCAATCGTGGAGAAAACGAGGTGTGTATTTTTAATGCAGGATTTGTAACGTACAAATTTGTTTTTCGTTATTGTCATATACTTTCATTGTAAGATGACACTTTGCGAACGACGTTTGTCGATCTGGAAATATCTTTTCCCTCCTCTGGACATAGGTAGAATTTAGTTGCCTATTGCATTCAAGATATCTAACTGTATAATATAAACACTAAAGGTTTCTCTTCCTTCTCTTAAGAATATACACGATTCTTCATATACTGAGTATAAGATTTGTCTTTCTTTTAAAAAGCTATCTTAGCTGCTATCATATAATACAATTCACGCGAGCTGTATACAAACATGGTATTACAATTACAAAAATTACTAATGCCTCGTATTTCTATTTATCGTTCGAAAAATCGTTTGGGTGTAGATTTGTTACACCTTTCGAAATATGCGCAAAGAGAAGCACGCTGAAATTCATCATCCACATCGGTGTCCATGAGAAAGCGATTTTATATATAAATTCGAAGTGAAGGAACGATCCTTTGTAGTCTCTCGACGTATCGCGTCGTATCCCCCGTTCAGTAATCGAAAAATAACGGATTTATATACTCTATCGGAATTGTCTTTCTTCTTTTTTTTAATCTCGCCACTCGATGTTGTTCAAACATCACGGCACACCAGGCACTGTACATTGAGCATGGCTCGAGCCAGACCTCTCAGTCTGGCTTATATCGTGTGTTACAACGTGGATTCGTGTATCACCGTTGTATTCGGATCACTGCTAGCAGTCTGAATTATTGCTGGCGGTATGTGTGGCGTCAACGTGATGGATGAAGTCTTGCGCACAGGTTTCGGGGAGGCCTGCAATCAAATATTACGATAAAAATTAATCGATTAATTTATTTTTATCATTCAATATTATTAATTAAAATCCAGTGTAATACCGTACACACAAATAAATCTGATTTGAATATAACGTGTATTACATACCCATTCTCTTCTGCAAGGTGCTTCGTCGTCTGAATAATGATCGATCTGCCCAATATCGGTTTCTGTCACTGCGTTCCTCTTCTTTGGCTGCAGAGTCGCGTAATTGCCGCAGCCTCTGGTGAAATTAGTCATATTCTTCTCTTCGACGATTTTCTCTTGACATAATATCTCTTGGGATTTACTTTGCTTGTTGTTCGTTACGTCACTGGTACTTTTATTATTGAAATAAAACGGTGGCATTTTCGATACCCAGTGATCTAGACCAGAACCAGCCGAGCTCGTCGACGCCGCGGACGAATTTCCCGTCGAATTATTGGACAGACCCCTTCGCTGGTAGAACAGCATGTACGCCGAGTTTGTGATTAGATTCGTATCATTGACCGCTTCCACGCGTGTGTCATCAAAACAGTACCACTGCGTATCGTATGGATTTCTACAAAACGCCGTGTAATGTCCGCCTTGTAGATCCTGCCCGTGATGATTGCATATCGCGTAGAGATCGTAGACATTCTCGTCGTACTTGGGGATATTGTGTTGCCGCGGTCGTGGTTTTTTCCAGGGCGACCAGCCTAGACCGCCCAAACTAGTAACGTTATTATGCGTTGCCTGAACTCCATTGTGAGCGAGATGTGGCGTCATGTCGAAACCGTACAAAGGAAAGTCCACTAGCATAGTCAATTTGGACGTTGACCGTTGCTTAGATTGCTGACGAAATCTTTTCAAGTGTATGACTAATATATCAGGCAATGACCAGAGACCTAGTTTTTTTACGACTTCTTGCTTCTTGTTGCAATAAGGACAATGCCATGCGTCTTCCGCGCCCAATATCTCCGCTCGCGTATACAGATCGAAACATTCCTCTAAAGTTACCGCGCCGCCCAGCTCGGAATTAGTTTTTAACTGTTTCACGCTGGCGTGTTCCTCAATCTGGTCGCTGTCGTCCTGTATAATATTACATTTAGTAGCCTCGTCCCACTCGAGGATCAGCTTTACATGTTGCGGACCCGAGTCGTCGGCGCAAAGCGCCAACGCTTGCTCGATCTGCTCCGTGTAAAGAGGATGCTCTACACAAGGATCGATACAAGGATGCTCGTCTTGGATCGGCGTCGCCGCCGGATCAGCAACGCGGATATTAAAGAGTCCCGGGCTCTGGCTGGTTGTGAGAACGTCATCCGCTAGCGTGCTGTGCATCTCCTTGAGCAGAAGTTTCTGCAGATCCTCGTAGGACGTCTCGCGTGACACCTGCATCGTGTACGGACTGCCGAAACGTTGCCTCAGATCCCCCTTTACGAGAACGTTGATCCAAACTAGCAAGATATACGCTTGCTCCGTAGGTTCCTTCAACTGCGGTAGCTCAATGCAATACAGTGGATCGTTTTCCATAATCACGGATAGAGGCTGACAATCAGAGAAGGTTCTGCAGAAAGAAAAAAAAAGCGATATATCATTCTTTTTGTTTCACTGTTGTGATGTAAGATGTTTAATATACAAGCCAATCATAAAAATTGCAAAATAATAAAAAGAAGCTGTATCCTTATACCTCCGCATTTTTCATACTTTCTTTTGCAATACGCGACTGAAACTTATTCTGATACAGTATTGATTTATTTATTGTTTCTCCTTAGAGTTACAAAAAACAAATAAAAAAATTCACAAAAAATTTATCAAAAGATTCCGCATTACAAAAATACATAATTCTCCACGCTTATTTTTTCGCAATACTTACTATCCTCCCAACATATTCTAACTCTTAACCCATTCTACCTCTACTATGAAATTTATTCTCAGCGCTAATTTTTCCCTTTCACTTATAGAATGCAATATATACTTTTGAAGGTTTTTAAATTGCAATTTAACCTGTGAAATCCTTCTTCGTGAATCTCGGTCAGTAGCATATGATTCTCGTCTACGCCGGTGTCGCTGGCTAGGATCTCTCGGAGCTCTCTCACGTTGGCTGCCTGATTCACACTCACGCCAATCTTGACTTGCCGCGGCTGCTGCGATGTATAGAGGACGTTCACATAAAGATTCATCTGCCGATGATTCTGCGGCACCGGCACCGACACGCACAGGAAGGGGTCGAAGGTGTTCGACTGTCGGTGGCATCTTGGACAAGTCAGACTAGACCGGAATTGCGCTTGAAATACGGCGTGTACAAAGGAGTTGTTACACCGCACATGATTCGCAAGCGTCTCGGCGGCGACGATGTCGTCGGGTCTACCGAATGAGTTCTGCGAATGGAAAAACGAATTACAGCGTGCTAAACGACATTATAGATATTTGATTTGCGAATATTTTAATAGAATGAGATTTCAATATATAATGATATCTATCGCTCCTTTACCTTAAAAGTAACACAATTAAAAAAATTACATTTTCCAGAAAAAAAGGAAAACTTTTTCAACTTGATAGAAAATTATTCACTAATCAAATAATCTTGGAAAAAAAAGAATATATTCTTAACGTGACAAACATTATTTTTGTCATTTATGTTTCACAATTCTTAAAAAAAAACCATACTTTTTTATAATTATAATGACTGACAATGATTTCTTTAGATCTTTTTTGAGTTGTGACATTATGACAGTTTTTTTATAAAATTAAGTTAGTTCGCTTCTGATGGATTGATGAGGTAATGTTTACCTAACTCATTCATAATAATTCGAAAATCACGTTTTTTGGATTGTGTCACTTTGAAGTAAAAAAGCAATATCTCGTTGTCAATTTTACTCGACAAGCAAATGCATCAACCCATAACGAGCCGAGCTCTCTTTCTTTCTTTTTTTTTCGCAGCTCTATTTTGCTGTGCGGTTTATGTAATCTGGTAAAATGGGTTTGAGGCGAGGTTGTCTGCCGCCGCGCCGCGACCACGAAGCCGTATGCACGCTAGCGACGCGGCGACGGCGGCGCGTTCCTCGCGAGTGTGAATCCCGGAGAGCGTGGGGTCCGCGACCGCCCTCCTTCTCGATCCGACGTGAAACTCGGTTATCGCTCAAAGCACATAACGACAATCATCCATAACGCGTCCGTGCTCTATTAATAGATTGCCGCCGTCGCAACCGCCACTCGCCTCCTTTTCCCTTCATCGTAAGGAAGACACGCGGAGCATCAGAAGGAAGAGCCGAGACCGAGTGCGCTAACGAACTCCGCGTGCAGGCTTCGGCACAATTTTATTGTCGCCGACATGCTAAAACGCTGCGCGCTCATTAACGTAAGCCGTTGCACTTAGCGACATAACGTCAGGACTTGATGCACCGATTGGTTCACGATGGAAACAATAAAAGATCCCCTTCGCTTTATTCGACTTGATTTCGGAAATTCGACAGACGCGGAGTCTTAAAATAATCTATAAAATTGTAATTATTATAAAAATCGGAGTATATAATAATGGATAAGCTCCGATAATGATTTCGCTATTCGATAGCGAAGCTGAACGATACGATCGAGTGATGACATAATTCAACGTATTAAAAACCTGCGCTGCCGCATTCCGATATTTTATTATCAATTAGAATATTCGCGTTCGCGTATGAACATTTTCAGAGATATACATATATACTATATACTCCGAGTATCTAATTCCGATTCTCAGTATTTAATTCGAATAAATTAATAAAACGTTGTTTGATTTAATCGAGAGAATTTATTGAGAGACTTCTCCAGTTTTATTGTCGAATGCAATTTCGTTTTCATTTCGTTTCAGTCTGGTTTCAGTCCAGCATAGATACGACCTCCTCTTAATAGGATAATAAATATCGAGGTTGTGCGTTTTCGTATAGCCTTCGAGTCGGTCGCAGACGGGACTTCACAGAGAGCTGCAAGAACCCGCGAGGTAGCGGTACATCGTGGCATTCAACGTGGTAAAACTTTATTGCCTGCAACTATTCGAGCTTGCTGCAAGTAGCGCACATCGTGTAAGTTATAGGAGTCATTATTGACCAGCCATTCGCACATTGTCCGTCTACTTATTTCGTTACTCCGTAAATGGGATATAACAATCCTTGAAAGAAAATCGATAATGTCGAGTTTGCAAATAGCCGGCGTTTCTAATGATATAATTCCCCAATAAACCAAAATAAAATTAAGTAAATTGAGGAAATAATTAAGAAGAAGGATAATGAGAGAAAGGCAGAAACATGATAGAATAATAAATGAAATGGGATCGATGTTAACGCAGAATAAATATTGACATTTTCGGTCAACGAGCGGGATCTTAATAATGAAAGCATAAAGGCGAAAGATACGAAACTCGCAGGTATTATTGTTAGATTCCGTATGACGATCGAAAACGTCAATAAATTAATTTAAACGAAGATCAATATGACTCTCAATTTTAAATGGTACAATTTTAAAGGTGACACACAAATTCAAATTTTAAGAACCAGCATTGATCGATCGTGTCATGTGCTGTGGAAAGTTTGAGATTATTTTTTAATATAGCTTGAAATAGAATCGAGACGTTTGATTTCGTGTTTTTTAAATAAACTGTGGTTGAGAATTACTGAGAATTAACCTTTCTATTTAATTATTATTTTATATTAATAATATCCTACGACAAAAATAAAAATTTTTTAAGTCATTTGTGACAGAACGTTCCATTATATAACATAAAAGCTTTGACACAATTCCAATAAGTACCAATGAGAGATCGTACTGGAAGGTTACGTAATACCTCGAGCGACATATTTCAATGATGAAAGGTATCGGTGACCCTCGTTAACACAGAACGTTAGCGACCGGCACGCAGAGCTTCGAGGACTCGTTCGCGCTTTCCGAAGCCGTGTAATTTGTAACACGCGATGAAAAACCGCAGAATGGGATAATCACCGGAGTGATCGCGCAGGATGTATCAGCGATCCGGTTGCCGGAAGTAATTTCCGATGCGTACGGCTGGAACGACTCGCGTTCACAATTGGTCAATGTCACGCCCGGTGCACGTGTACTCGACTCGTAAAACCATCGTTACAATCGCGCATATATGTATATGCCGGTAACCTTACAAATATCTGACCCCCGCCAATATTCCTAAAGGAATACCGCTAATAGATCAGTCGGAGATGCATTAGAAACACTTCGATCTGTTTAGCGCGACTGCGTTCTCGTAGAAGCGAATTACTTATAGATTACAATCGATGGATATCGTAACATTGGAAAGAATAATTTTGCTTTAGATCTAAAATTTTGCTGAATACAAATCTGAAAGTAATTTTGTTGAATAATTAAAATGATTATGTTAAAAATTCCAAAAAACAGCAATGCTGCACAAAAATTTGACATTCTAGCAACCAGTTTTCCAACAAAATTATTTTAATGGTTCAACAAAATTATTTTCAGATCTATATCCCCAGTAAAATTTTAGATCTTTCAACAAAATTATTCTTTCCGTATATGCATACGAGATGTCAGTTTTACATTTTTTTTCCATCCTACAATACATGGTATGCCTGTAAAATTATATTTTAATTTTCAAACTATTTGCGAAATTCTCCCGATTATTATAAATTCATACTCTTCATACTTTACAACATACAATTATAATTTATTCAGTTTATTTTGTAAAAACGTAAAATCGCAAACTTGAAACTTTATGTTGATCCAATTTAGACATCGTGTCAAAACTTTGCTCGGTTCAAATTTTTCATGAGTACTTTCTCACAAAGTTAATCGCACAATTTGACTGCTTCTCAATTTGCAAAAGATCAGAAGAACCGATGAGTTGCGAATTCCGTTTGTCAGTTTCTGTCGACGCGACGCAATGAATCATCTCAGTAAAAATAAAAACGAATGCAGAAGGATATATATGTTTTAAAATAAAAGCACAATAACGCACTTTCCGGTTTCACAACAATCTTTCGTTTTTATTACGAAACGTTTAATTTATTTGAAAGTATTTAAAGGTAATTAATTATTATCGATGAATATATACAATTCAGCAAACACAATTATAATATTATACTATATAAATATAGTTATAAATTATAGATGCGTTATTTAGAAATATATACATCATATAAAATAAATAAACATAAGTCTCATTATATTCACATACATGCCGCGTGATTTAATTATATTTAGAAGTTAACTATATTTAGAAACATTCATAATGACAATATATCACTTTTAAAAAACAGAAAGTGCTTTTACGAACTTAGATATTTCGTTATTATCAACATTTTATTCAAAGAAAGAAATGTTTTAACTTTTGCAAAAGCAAATGTTCTTAATAATATTTCTATGAATAAAAATAAAAGTATTTTTGCTCAATTACTTGATATCGTTATATATTTATCAAGAAAATGACATATAATTTACATTATGATAACATTACTGTGACGATTATACATGATTTGTAATAAACTACCATTATGCACTAGGAAGACAAATTTAGTATCTTTAACAAAATTGTTTAGTTGAGGTATTTTTTAGTAGTAACCAAATACTTTGTTTATATAACAGAAAAAATAGTTACTTTCGCAAAATATTTGCTTTGTAAATAATAAAAATAATTGTTTATACCAACCTAAACAATTTTGTTTACGTAAAATTATAAAAAATTTGATTCGATAAATTTTAACAAAAAATTTTTGTTCGTTGTTTCAATCAAATGTTCATTGTTAAAACAAAATTTTTGTTCATAAAACAAAACATTTTTCTTAGAGTGTACATATGATTACCGAGAAAATATTTGTCTAAACAATTTTATCATAAGATATAAAATCTCTCTTTCTCTCTCTCCCTCTCTCTCTCTCTCTTCTTCATCGAGATACAAAACAAAAAGATTGAAATCTATTCTCTTGTGCGTTGCTGTTTTTCCTTAGTAAGATATCGACAAAAAGTGCCACTTGATATGTCTAGGCGATAAGTTTGCGATATACGATTCCCTATACAACTATATACACAAAAAGCGATTTCTTTCATTATGAATTTATTTATGCGACGTTCACGTGAGTCTCGTCGATTGACCGCAATTTGCAGTGATGCAATATTTTTGAATGCATGCGTATTGCGTACACAACACAGAGAGAAAAATGTTTAGTATTTGTAACTATAATTATATATTACTATAATTATGATTATTACTGCTATAATAATAATAACAGTAATTATATATATAGTTCCAGCAACAAATGTATATAATTGGCAACCTAAAATGACTATAATTATAGTTGTTATAACATAAAATAGTTGAAATTACCATAAAAATGATTCAAGTGACTATAATTTTATAGTT